TTTTCTCAGGTGCATATGCATTCCAAAGCATTTATTTATTTATATCAAATGGCAGGCGTCTTGATGGTTATCATTAGCCCTTTAGTTGACTTCAGGCTTCACAGAGAGGAAGGAACATCAAATTGAAAAAAATCGAGAGGGGGGAACAGAAGAGTGTTTCAAAGATGTAAGAGACAAACACAAAGTTAAAACAAAGGTGAGGTGAGTACTGTGAAAATATTAGAATATGGCATCGAGTGAGGTGATGGTAGTTTGAAGTGAGAAGTCAACTGTCAGTTAATAGACTTTTTTACCGTATGAGTATACGTTACTCAGGGTGCACCACGTGAAGGTAAGTCTATCGCACACCCCGTATTCCAAAGCATTCATTTGGCTAAATGTCAGGAGTCTGGAACCAATTGGTTCTAAGTATTCTCATTACTTGAAGTAATTCGAACAACCTCTTCTAGATTGATCCTTTAACGCCCGAATTGTTTTTTTTTAAAATGCGCCCAACCACACTCCTGCGTGTCTCACAGCAGACTGTTGCCAACGCGATGAGTTTGCTTAATGTCAGGCAAAGGTTATAGAGATGTGTTTGCTATGGTTCAAACGGCAATAGCGTCTTCTGTTGCAAGTCTATTGCCAATAGAGGCTATTTTGAAATAGAACCATACTGTTCAAAGTGTGTTAAAGGGTTAAAAACTTCTATATTCTCTTATTTAACTGTATTTTGATTTTTCTTGATCTACTGACCAATCAGATCTAGACACATGAACCTGATGTCCAGTCACTGAAATCTGTACATCGTGTCATTAGAAGTGGCAATTGAGTATTTATTCACTCATTGGTGAAAGTCTAAATAAAATATTCTGGAATTGAGCAATTATGTGTTAACATATCTGAGCAGATCGATTTATGCTAATAATGCTTGTCTTCCCTTTTTCAGACTTGTTCATCAACGAAAGATGGTTGGCGCAGTTCACAGTCTGGACGATTGCGATTTTCTTGGGGATGGAACTCGAAGTATAGCTGTGTTGACCTCCATCGGTCTTCACGTTTTCCAATGCAGCCATATTCTAGACTTCTGTCTACCCCTGTTAGATGTCAGACTTCAATCTCTTCCTTCTTCCTTCAAGCCCCCATAGAAGGCTTATCTTCTTTACCGCGACCATTAATTTGATATAATATTTGCTACTTAACTTTTCTAAGTAACTGTGTTTCTGTAATTCGGATATTTGTATGTGTTGAATACCACGACATAATTTTGATTTGACTTTTCTTCTCTCCAATTCTATGTTTATTTATTTATTTATATCAAATGGAAGGCGTTTTGATAGTTATCATTGGCCCTTTAGTTGACTTGAGGTTTCACAGAGGGTAGGAACATCAAAGTAACAGAAAGTCGAGGGGTGGGGAACAGAAGAGTGATTTAAAGATATAAAAGAGACAGGCATAAAGGTAGGGAAAAGTTAAGATGAGTACTATGTAAGTGAAATTGGTGGAATATGACATAGGATGGGATCGTAGTAGTTTGAAGTGAGAAGTCAACTGACGGTTAATAGACTTGTGCCGTATGAGTATACGCTGCCCAGAGTGCGCCACGTGGAGGTAAGTCTATCGCACACCCCGTGCCCTTAAATATCAAAACAGTTTATCAAATCAAAGAAAATTATGCCATTTATTTTGCTTTAATGAGAATCTAGAAGGTCATATATTTCTTGGGTGTTGTAAGTACTCCCAATTGGTTGCAAAATTAACATTTCTGCTAATGATTAGCATGCTTCCAGCTGCTATGATTAGTCAAAACTTCAATTCGTTTCTACTTGTGGGACTGAAGGGACTGATTTCAAAATTTGCTGATAAAGCTTATTTATTGATTTGAAAGTGAAATAGTTCGAGCCATGGTGGTTGTTGCTAATTAAAAATCAAGTTATA